CTCCAAATTCTGCAGCATGATTGAACTCCGAGTCTCCTCTATCTGACACGCTTATGTTTTGCTATCACTGAAGTGTGTCCAACTTTTACTATTTGACATGCTTATGTGTACAATGTGATCCCAGCTCAAATACACTTGATACTTTTCTACATCCTGAAGAGCTTAGTTGCATTCCTCTTTTTCAATAGCTGTATTTATACTTTTAAAAAACACTTGATTTGATTTATATCTCTGTATCATTGGTCTCTTTCTTGCCATGTCGTGTTCCTGACTTATTTATTTATTGAAATATGCACTAAAAGTAAGGATGACACAACTGGCTCTTGAATCCCAGTAAATGGACACCTGCTTTTTCTAACTTCAGTGCTTTTGCACTCGCTGTGTTATCTTCCACCTTATGGCACAACTTATCTCTGATGATTGCGAGAGTTCTGGGTTGAGTCAGTTCTCTGTGCAGACATTTGATTGTTGCGCACTTAGCCTTTTCTAAAAGTGACAAACACATTTTAATATCAGAGGTGAAATATTAACTTAAAAGGTGATTAGTTGAGAAAATGACAGAAAACATGTTTGATTATCAAATAGTTCTGCAATTTTCTTATTAGTGAAAACACCGCAGATTCTCACATTTCACCGTGAATATCTGGATTTTTTCTTCTATTTGGTTTTGATTTTTGTTTTTAGATATTTGTTGCTGCTGAACCATTTATTGGATGGACTGAAATAGAATGCCATAAAGGCCAAGTACCTGTGGTTTTACCAACGTTATGCTAAAATTTTCCTAAGTTATAAACATGGCAAACAATATAGCTGCTAAATTATTTGCATGTGTCTGTGCCTCACAGACACTAGCACTGCTGTAGACCATAGACTGATAACAAAACATAGATACGGCCACCAAGACATCACCCAGTGGTTTGTGGACTACTTATCAGAAACATCGAGTTGGCATTTTTGCAGTAGCCATTAGGCCATTTGCTGAAACACTAGAGCAGTACAACTGCATGGTCATATGATAATAATTAGCCAGACATGAATCATATTGCCTTTTTGTTGATTTTAATCTACATGGGGTCATAAATTAGAAAATTAAAATCATGTAAGGTTAAAGAATATTAGAAATTGAAGATCATGAACTCATTCACCATTCACCTTCACCAAAGAGGTTATGTGACCGATTCTGTTAGTCTGCCTGTTAACCAGATTACATAAAATGTTATGCAGCGAGCATGTTCCCAGACCATGGGACCGGCTCATTTTAAGAAGGGATCCAGGCTCAGGAATTTTTGAAACATAACTTCACAAATACATACTGAATTAAAATATGTAAAACTGGGAGACGTGCTCTTCTCAAGAAAATATCTAACGCATTTAGATCAAGCTACAATTCTGTATCCAGGCACTTGTTTCATTTTTTTTGGCCAAGAGTTATGCATTCTTGGACTCAGAAGAATAACTCAAACGAATAAACCAGACGAGTGACAACTGTTAATTGATATTGAAGCAACAAGCCAGAACACAGGGGAATGCCTCACTGAGGGTCAGCAGCAGCTCCCAGACGATGACTAACAAAGAAAAGGGACCGGGAGCGTGGGGCATCGAAACAATAGCAAATGGGTGTGTGCACCGATGGACGTATAATTGGAAGAAGAATGTTTGACATGTGGTTCAGCTCCTGATATTCACATATATTATTATATATTATTTGCAGTAGGACTTAGATGTTGCATATTGAAGATACTTCAGCTTTATGGTTACTTTTACATCCATCTTTTATATACAGTCTATGCCGCAGTATCCCTTTTTAGTTCTTTGGTTAACATTTTACAGCTCAGTCTGGAAGAAAAATCTGGATTAATCTGTACAGTAAAAATAGATTTTTAGGTTAGAAATTTAGAATATCACTCCTTCTCTCTTCCTACAAGATGGTCAAAGGTCATAGGTCAGAATCTCGGGTATGCAGGAGCATACAGATAACTGATAAATTGCAGGCAGGTTGAACGTTTCGTCCACTGCCTGAGATTTGAGCAGCACAATGGGGACACGGAGGAGGATCAGTCTTATTGATCCTGAAAGGGTGAAACATGGAAAACCACTACAGCTCAATTTGTCAAAACAAACGTTGTGACTGCTAAAACCTCACTGTCAGCACTGTCTGGCAGGTTATCGATCAGCACTGTCACCACAAGGATGACTCCCTCTGATACAGTAACACATTATCTTTTAGCTCACAGTTGTAGGTTTGTTTACCAGTCTGGGTGGAGGTTACCTTGCCCAGGCCCCATGAAGAAATTCAGTGAATGGAAGCTATTAATTATTTACATTTAGCACTGTTGAGTTGGACTACCAAGCCCCATCTGATTCTATCTATAGTCTATGAGTGGGTGTGCCTGTTTATTATCTGATGAGACAAAATTAAATGAACTGGCACAATTTCAGGGTTGAACTGTTTTGTTCCATTAACCTCAGCTCCAGCCGCAGAGATCTGTGTGTGTTGGAAATGATGAGAAGTTAAACAAGTTCAGGCTCATTTCTGAGCCATGCTCTCCTGTGCCAGTGTCCATGCTATCATAAAGGCTGGGATAAATGCTTTTACTATTAGTTAAAGTATAATGGTGTTACAGGTCACACAATATTTCACAGCCACTACTGCTAAGTCAAAGTGGCATCAATGCACTGGTATCTTGGTTAAATTCAGCGCAAGGCTGTCTTACATTTTGGAGCCTCAGCAATCATTTCAAGACACACACACACACACACACACACACTTCACTCTTTCTCTGCAGTAGCTGTTACAAATAGATATGTGGAAGGATGGCCTGCAACAGCCTTGTGAGTTATGGATGAAAAACCCACAGGAATAGAAAAGCAATCCGCGCCAC